ATACTTATTTCCCTCATTAAAATGCAAATCAATTTATAACATTTTTGACATGCGTTTTTCTGGATTTTTTTGTTGTTATTCTGTCTCTCACTGTTCAAATAAACCTACCATTTATAATTATAGACTGATCATTTCTTTGTCAGTGGGCAAACGTACAAAATCAGCAGGGGATCAAATACTTTTTTCCCTCACTGTATGCTGGTGTGGTTGGCCCTGGGTTCCTCCTAATGCAAGACAATGCTAGACCTCATGTGGCTGGAGTGTGTCAGCAGTTTCTGCAAGAGGAAGGCATTGATGCTATGGACTGGCCCGCCCGTTCCCCAGACCTGAATCCAATTGAGCACATCTGGGACATCATGTCTCGCTCCATCCACCAACGCCACGTTGCACCACAGACTGTCCAGGAGTTGGCGGATGCTTTAGTCCAGGTCTGGGATGAGATCCCTCAAGAGACCATCCGCCACCTCATCAGGAGCATGCCCAGGCGTTGTAGGGAGGTCATACAGGCACGTGGAGGCCACACACACTACTGAGCCTCATTTTGACTTGTTTTAAGGACATTACATCAAAATTTTGAGGGTGACTCCAAATCCAGACCTCCATGGGTTGATAAATTTGATTTCCATTGATAATTTTTGTGTTATTTTTTTTTTTGTCAGCACATTCAACTATGTAAAGAAAAAAGGTATTTAATAAGATTATTTCATTCATTCAGATCTAGGATGTGTTATTTTAGTGTTCCTAAATTTTTTGGAGCAGTGTATATATACACACAAAAGTATGTGGACACCCATTCAAATTAGTGGATTCGGCTAATTCAACCACACCCCTTGCTGACAGGTGTATAAAATCGAGCACACAGCCATGCAATCGCCATAGACAAACATTGGCAGTAGAATGGCCTTAGTGAAGAGCTCAGTGACTTTCAATGTGGCACTGTCATAGGATTCCACCTTTCCAGCAAGTCAGTTTGTCAAATTTCTGCCCTGCTAGAGCTGCCCTGTTGAACTGTAAGTGCTGTTATTGTGAAGTGGAAACGTCTAGGAGCAACAACGGCTCACTCGCGAAGTGGTAGGTCCACACAAGCTCACAGAATGGGACCGCCGACTGCTGAAGTAAAAATCGTCTGTCCTCGGTTGCAACACTCACTACAGAGTTCCAAACTGCCTCTGGAAACAACATCAGCACAAGAACTATTCTTCGGGAGCTTCATGAAATGGGTTTCCATGGCCAAGCAGCCACACACAAGCCTAAGATCACCATGAGCAATGCCAAGTGTTGGCTGGAGGGGTGTAAAGTTCGCCGCCATTGGACTCTGGAGCAGTAGAAACACGTTCTCTGGAGTGATGAATCACACTTCACCATCTGGCAGTCCGACTGACAAATCTGGGTTTGGCTAATGCCAGGAGAACGCTACCTGCCCGAATGCATAGTGCTAACTGTAAAGTTTGGTGGAGGAGGAATAATGTTCTGGGGCTGTTTTTAATGGTTCCGGCTAGGCCCCTTAGTTCCAGTGAAGGGAAATCTTAATGCTACAGCATACATTGACATTCTAGACGATTCTGTGCTTCCAACTTTGTGGCTACAGTTTGGGGAAGGCCCTTTCTTGTTTCAGCATGACAATGCCCCCGTGCAGAAATCGAGGTCCATACAGAAATGGTTTGTCGAGATTGGTGTGGAAGAACTTGATTGGCCTGCACGGAGCCCTGACCTCAACCCCAGTAGTATGATTTTCAGAAAAACAAAGAAAGGCACGCAGCTACAGAGGGCGAACATACCCACTGGGCACACTGGTGGAATAGATGTTGAATTGACATCTCTGCCCAGTGAGTACGTACAAGGTAAGTGTTTCATATATTTATATATTTTTTAGAAGTATTGACATTGGGCGAAACTATGTAGTCGGTTGCTTGCGGGGACGTAGACGGAGTAGTAATCTTTCAGGAATACATCTCCCATAATCCTCAGGGGCTGTCCGTTCTGGGATGTCAGGTAGGTGAGGGTGATCCCCACGGCTCCCCAGGGTAACACACATGGACAGACACACACAACCTCACCTGCAGAATGTATGCAGTTGGTGGCAGGGATAAGTCTGGTCACTGGTGTAGTTTGTAGGCTACACCAGTGACCAGACAAAGGTGATCAAGGAGTGGGGAGTGGCAGCGGAGCAGTCAGCACAGCAGCTACGTAGGCAACGGAGTGGGCATTCAGCTATGAAAAAAAAAAAAGTATTTGCCTTGGCAAATTGCGATACAGAAACTCTGAGAAAAGCCTTTAAACAGCTTGGAAAATTCCAGAAAATGATGTCATGGCTTTAGAAGCTTCTGATAGGCTAATTGACATAATTTGAGTCAATTGGAGGTGTACCTGTGGATGTATTTCAAGGCCTACCTTCGAACTCAGTGCCTCTTTGCTTGACATCATGGGAAAATCTGAAGAAATCAGCCGAAGAACACAAAAAAAATTTTTGGGACCTCCACAAGTCTGGTTCATCCTTGGGAGCAATTTCCAAAAGTCTGAAGGTACCACGTTCATCTGTACAAACAATAGTACGCAAGTATAAACACCATGGGACCACGCAGCCGTCATACCGCTCAGGAAGGAGACGCATTCTGTCTCCTAGAGATTAACGTACTTTGTTGCGAAAAGTGCAAATCAATCCCAGAACAACAGCAAATGACTTTGTGAAGATGCTGGAGGAAACAGGTATAAAAGTATCTATATATACAGTAAAACAAGTCCTATATCAACATAACCTGAAAGGCCGCTCAGCAAGGAAGAAGCCACTGCTCCAAAACCGCCATGTGCAATTGCACATGGGGACAAAGATCGTACTTTTTGGAGAAATGTCCTCTGGTCTGATGAAACAAACATTGTTTGGCCATAATGACCATGGTTATGACCATGGCCTTCAGGCTCTGATCAGTCCCTACACCCAAACGAGGGCACTGCGTTCATCCACCTCTGGCCTGCTGGCTCCCCTACCTCTGCGGAAGCATAGTTCCCGCTCAGCCCAGTCAAAACTGTTCGCTGCTCTGGCACCCCAATGGTGGAACAAGCTCCCTCACGACGCCAGGACAGCGGAGTCACTCACCACCTTCCGGAGACATTTGAAACCCCACCTCTTTAAGGAATACCTGGGATAGGATAAAGTAATCCTTCTACCCCCCCCCCCCCCCCCCCCCCCAAAAAATAATAATAATAATAAAACATTTAAAAAAAAAAAAACACACATTGTAAAGTGGTTATCCCACTGGCTATAATGTGAATGCACCTATTTGTAAGTCGCTCTGGATAAGAGCGTCTGCTAAATGACGTAAATGTAAATGTAAATGTTATGTTTGGAGGAAAAAGGGAAATGCTTGCAAGCCGAAGAACACCATCCCAACCATGAAGCACAGGGGTGGCAGCATCATGCTGTGGGTGTGCTTTGCTGAAGGAGGGACTGGTGCACTTCACAAAATAGATGACATCATGAGGAAGGAACATTATGTGGATATATTGAAGCAACATCTCAAGACATCTGTCAGGAAGTTAAAGCTTGGTCGCAAATGGGTCTTCCAAATGGACAATGACCCCAAGCATACTTCCAAAGTTGTGGCAAAATGGCTTAAGGACAACAAAGTCAAGGGTATTGGAGTGGCCATCAGAAAGCCCTGACCTCAATCCTATAGAAAATGTGTGGGCAGAACTGAAAAAGCGTGTGCCAGCAAGGAGGCCTACAAACCTGACTCAGTTACACCAGCTCTGTCAGGAGGAATGGGCCAAAATTCACCCAACTTATTGTGGGAAGCTTGTTGAAGGCTACACAAAACGTTTGACCCAAATTAAACAATTTAAGGCAATGCTACCAAATATTAATTGTGTTTATGTAAACTTCTGACCCACTGGGAATGTGATGAAATAAATCATTCTCTCTACTATTATTCTGACATTTCACATTCTTAAAATAAAGTGGTGATCCTAACTGACCTAAGACAGGGAATTTTTACTAGGATTAAATGTCAAGAATTGCAAAAAAAATAGTTTAAATATATTTGGCTAAGGTGTTTGTAAACTTCCGACTTCACGTGTAGATTGATACTGTAACTAAGGGATATATATTCTGTACTGTTGGTCACATGTACAAAAAGCTTGATTGCATTAAGTTGTCAGTATGATTGCAATGGAAGATATTTTCCATCCAATGACATTGGTCATATTCATGATCATACCTTGATGAATCTTCCACGTACTCACACAACCTCAGTCAAACTGCTGTTCAGATCTTACCACAGACATTTGGTTTTGTAAGTATTACAATGATGCCAATTTTGTTACATTTGTGATATTTTGTTTATTATTCTTAAATTGTTGAAATCTACAGTACCAGTGTGCAAAGCTGTCATCAAGGCAAAGGGTGGCTATTTGAAGAATCTCAAATATAAAATATATTTTGATTTGTTTATCACTTTTTTGGTTACTAAATGATTCCATGTGTTATTTCATAGTTTTGATATCTTCACTATTATTCTACAATGTAAAAAATAATGTCTGGAGTGTTTTGTCCTCACTAGAAAACCTGCATTGCAGCATTTCCCTCTGAGCCTTACAAAAAATTGTATCTTACTAAAGGAGTAGAGAACTGAGCCTCTCTTGGAACTAATGGACCACAGTTATACAGATGGTTTATAGAAAACAAGATGATGAGCTCATGCACTGTTGTCTGTAAACTGGGGACCTGAAAAAAAATAGAATAATTGCTTAACTCCTCTGTCTGCTTAGAGAGCAAAGCAAAAGATGGAGGATGTGTGAGTTCTTGTGTCTGGTGAGTGAGGCACAGACCCAAATAGAGAGTGACAGGCCATATCTCAGAGCAGTCTTCCCCAGGGTTGGAGCACTCTGTGTGGGCATCACTCAGAGAGATGCTCCTCTCTGAATGGTGGTGGTCAGGTACATGAGGACTGGGGGTGAAATAACACGTGTGTGTGTGTGTACTATGTGTAAGTATTAACATTCTACCTCCTGTTCTTCCAGGCCTGCCCATGACATCAGTCTGGAGGAGTTTGATGATGAGGATCTGTCTGAAATCACAGATGACTGTGGAATAGGACTCAACTACGACTCTGATCCATACGAGAAGGTGGAACACACATATGAATGAATGCAAGCATGCACACACTCACACACACACACTGACAAACACACAGGCACATACACACACCAATGTAATGTAGTGAAACAGCAGGTCTGTAATTAATAACTTTTCTGGGGGCTATTCTGCTCTCATCATTAAATAGATTAGCTTGCAGAAGGCTGCAAACTAAAATCTCCTCATATAGTACAGATAGAAAACAAATGTCTTCCTACACATTTGAAGAAAAGTAACTTGGCTGTCAGTCTGTTTGGGTTTCTTTGTGTGGCTGTGTGTCTCTGCCAACACATGGTGCTCAGGGCTTTGATTGACAGTTGCTGTGGGTGACTGCTGCTCCAACTAGGTGGTTAACAGCAAGTATAGTGAGAGCGAGAAAGATTGAATATGAGAGAGAGAGAGTGATAGACTCCCCAGTATAGCCATTGGAGGTGATAACTGCCAATTTGTGTGCTACTCGGCTCATCTCTTATATAAGCGGCAGTGTAACTTGCTGTTAATACCTGTGTGACCAGAGCTCATTACATTAGTGACCTTATACTAAGCTCAGCCCTACTCTATCATTTCCATCCTATCAACATCAGTTCCAGCATCAGAGCAGAATATGAATGGTACTGTACTGTAATGTACAACTCAGATCCACTCTTAGTGACAGAGCTCTGGAGATAATCCACAGACCTGTACTACTGGAGAAGCACTGGGTCTGTTTCCTCTCGATCTCTCTGTTCTCCCTCTAATTATTTCTCTGACACCCCTTTCTCTCATTCTCTCTCTCTCCGTTCTCTCTCCCTCCCTCCCTCCCTCTCACTTTATTTCTGTCTCCCCCTCTCTCTCCTGAGGGATGTGAATGTTTTATGTGTGTGGCTTTGAGCCATGGCTGCAGAAGAGGGTGAATGACCCAGTGCAGTTTGCTGCTATGCAGAGACAACATCCATCCTCGCTCATCATTCCCTTCTACCTCTCTCTCTCTCTCTCCCCCCTGCCTGCTCATTCCTTCCCTCCCTGCTATGCAGAGCACTGTTCAGAGAGATCCTCCCGTCTCCCTACCTCCAAACCCCTCCTCTCTTCCTCATGCCCCTTCCTCTATTCCTCCTCTTCCCCTCTTTCCCGTCCCCACTGCGTATAGATGCAGAGAGGGAGAGAGGGGGATTGGTTTCTACTGTTAATCTTATGACACATATCCAAGCGGGATGTTTTTGCTTCTGCCTCATTAATCCCGCAACAAAAGAACAGAGGAATTGAGGTATTTTCTCAGTCACATGCAAAGTTCTTTCTACAAAGCAATTTGTCACAGAGTGTGTAGAGAAGACCCGGGCCTACGTCCTCAGAAAGCAAGTCGAGGGAAACGCTTTTATCCTTGCAATCTGAGATGTCATATTTCAAACGCAGATCACACAACGGTACAAACAGACCCTGACTGCTCAGTTCACAGATGTGTGGGTGTATGCCAGAGACAGTGTCACTCTTGTTATGTTACATCATCAAACCCACCCCCACCATGTCGCCCAGCCCCACAGGAACTAATCCTGCTGACATCGGACCGACACTCTGGATTAAGAACAGAGCTGGAGAGTGTTGTGCGTGCATTTGTGCGTGTGTTTGTGCGCATGTGTGTTTTCTGTATTTGATTGGGTGATTGTCATTTGTCAGTTTTAAGCCATCATCAGCCGTTAAGCCTCTATCACGCAGTGAAATGGTTTCTGTTTGTATGCACACGTGCCTGTATTTGTATGTGTGTGATAAGGCACTGAAATCATTTTGTGGTGGTTGTCTTTTAGCACTTTGATCTTCAGGGCTGACAGCCAATCAGAACTGTGGGATTAACCCCTGCCCAATCCCCATCTTTGATTAATAACCATTTGTTGTTCACTTCCTAATCTGCATACCCCTTTCAAGATTAGGATTTGCTCTCTTTGATTTACACACACACACACACACACACACACACATATACATATATACACACACACCACACACACACCATCATAAACGGACTTAACCTGATTATGTCAGGAGCAGAGATATGAGTCTTCAATCATCTGATTTCTTAATATACCAGAAATGGCATTTCATTTGAGAGAAGATTTGAATGCTTTAAAATGTCATAATTTGTCTACAACATAAACCCATGCCTCCCTCCATGCTATTGGTGGAAACTGCTGCAGTTACTAATGTATTTTTGAAGTTATCCCAGAATGCTATCAGAAGGAGGAAAACATAGATGTTTTCATGTGTGTAATTATGTTTTTTCACTTGGTTGAACTGTAGTAAGCTGCGATACATACATACATACATACATACATACATACATACATACATACATACATACATACATACATACATACAGTGAGGGGAAAAAAGTATTTGATCCCCTGCTGGTTTTGTACGTTTGCCCACTGACAAAGAAATGATCAGTCTATAATTTTAATGGTAGGTTTATTTGAACAGTGAGAGACAGAATAACAACAACAAAAATCCAGAAAAACGCATGTCAAAAATGTTATGAATTGATTTGCATTTTAATGAGGGAAATAAGTATTTGACCCCCTCTCAATCACACCTGTCCACAGAAGCAATCAATCAATCAGATTCCAAACTCTCCACCATGGCCAAGACCAAAGAGCTCTCCAAGGATGTCAGGGACAAGATTGTAGACCTACACAAGGCTGGAATGGGCTACAAGACCATCGCCAAGCAGCTTGGTGAGAAGGTGACTACAGTTGGTGCGGTTATTCGCAAATGGAAGAAACACAAAAGAACTGTCAATCTCCCTCGGCCTGGGGCTCCATGCAAGATCTCACCTTGTGGAGTTGCAATGATCATGAGAAAGGTGACGAATCAGCCCAGAACTACACGGGAGGATCTTGTCAATGATCTCAAGGCAGCTGAGACCATAGTCACCAAGAAAACAATTGGTAACACACTACGCCGTGAAGGACTGAAATCCTGCAGCGCCCGCAAGGTCCCCCTGCTCAAGAAAGCTCATATACAGGCCCGTCTGAAGTTTGCCAATGAACATCTGAATGATTCAGAGGAGAACTGGGTGAAAGTGTTGTGGTCAGATGAGACTAAAATCGAGCTCTTTGGCATCAACTCAACTCGGCGTGTTTGGAGGAGGAGGAGGAGGAATGCTGCCTATGACCCCAAGAACACCATCCCCACCGTCAAACATGGAGGTGGAAACATTATGCTTTGGGGGTGTTTTTCTGCTAAGGGGACAGGACAACTTCACCGCATCAAAGGGATGATGGACGGGGCCATGTACCGTCAAATCTTGGGTGAGAACCGCCTTCCCTCAGCCAGGGCATTGAAAATGGGTCGTGGATGGGTATTCCAGCATAACAATGACCCAAAACACACGGCCAAGGCAACAAAGGAGTGGCTCAAGAAGAAGCACATTAAGGTCCTGGAGTGGCCTAGCCAGTCTCCAGACCTTAATCCCATAGAAAATCTGGGAGCTGAAGGTTCGAGTTGCCAAACGTCAGCCTCGATACCTTAATGACTTGGAGAAGATCTGCAAAGAGGAGTGGGACAAAATCCCTCCTCAGATGTGTGCTAACCTGGTGGCCAACTACAAGAACTGTCTGACCTCTGTGATTGCCAACAAGGGTTTTGCCACCAAGTACTAAGTCATGTTTTGCAGAGGGGTCAAATACTTATTTCCCTCATTTAAAATGCAAATCAATTTATAACATTTTTGACATGCGTTTTTCTGGATTTTTTTAAATTTATTCTGTCTCTCACTGTTCAAATAAACCTACCATAAAAATTATAGACTTATCATGTCTTTGTCAGTGGGCAAACGTACAAAATCAGCAGGGGATCAAATATTTTTTTCCCTCACTGTACATACATAATCAACCTAAGAATGGTTCATTTCCCCATCACACATAAAGAAGCAATTCCAATTATCTGTAATTCCTATTGTTGACATTCTGAATATAATGATGATGATGATTTTTACTAACTTGGGTACTCTCACAGATAAAAATGTCCTCACAGTCATGCCTATGCAGATTGAGAGGAGAGAACACTGGCCTACATTTCCCATAATGTTTCAGAAAAGAAGGGAGGTTATTCCTGAGTCATACAGTTTCTGCATTTTTCCCTGCTGTCTTGTGACCTGGCTATGTCTGTCTGTGTCTGGGAGTTAGATATGAGCTACAGACGAGCTCGAAATGAGACTGAGTGGTCTTCCCTCCTCTGTTTGCCCCTTATAATGAATCTGTGAAAGCCTGGTTGGGTGGAAGCAAATGGGTCATTCTCATGTTGGTATCTATCAATCTTTGGGAGTAGAACCAGAGAGAAATTATTAGAGAGAAAGACAGAGTTAATGAATGAAAGAGAGAGTGAGAGAAAGTGAATTCAGTCTGTTGGGAGCAGACAGGATACTCAGTCCCTTGAGTCAGACCCAGGCATAAATCACTAGCTGTGATGTGCATCCTTTAAGCTAAAATATCCCTTCAAAATGGGAAAGTGGTGCTGCTTGCTATTTTGAAGGTGAGCTAGGCTGAGAAGGAATATAATCTCCCCCTAGTGACCTGTCCCCCTTAATGCACTCACAGTGCATCCTTTTCTATCGATCATTCATTCATTCATTCATTCATTCATTCATTCATTCATTCATTCATTCATTCATTCATTCATTCATTCATTCATTCATTCATTCATTCATTCATTCATTCATTCATTCATTCATTCATTCATTCATTCATCCATCCATCCATCCATCCATCCATCCGGAAATCTAGGAGATACATGTGACAGATACAGCACAGTTTCTCAGAGGAAGTCAATGACACAGCCTACTGTACAAGAGACATTTCACATATTTTATGGGGGTTAATCGATTGCTTTTTATTAGTATTAAAAAGTATATTATTTTTGATCACGTGTATATCATCTATTAATCTTATAGTCATACTTATAGTGTTGTGTATTGAGCCTCTAGGCTCCTCAAAGACACACACACACTCCTATTTATAGCTGTCCACTATCGCCACTGCCATCAAGGAGCAGAATGTAGTCATTATTGATTCAATGTAGACATTCTTATTGATCTGGTGATGTTTTACTGTAGATAAGTGTTTAAAATGTCAACGTTTAAAAGTCCACTATGGAGTAATACTGTTATGAGTACATTATGATATCATTAATACACAACACTATAAGTATGACTATAAGATTAATAGATGATATACACGTGATCAAAAATAATATACTTTTTAATACTAATAAAAAGCAATCGATCAACCCCCATAAAAGATGTGAAATGTCTCTTGTACAGTAGGCTATGTCATTGACTTCCTCTGAGAAACTGTGCTGTATCTGTCACATGTATCTCCTAGATTTCCCCATGGTTATAGATTGACTGTTGATTTTAGTTTCTCTGGTGTTAAGGTTTAGCAGGCATCAGCAGTCCTGTGTGAAGCGAATAAGAAGGTTGGCTTTGATGCTGAGAGAGACAGGAGGGAAAGAGAGATGAGGAAAGTGCTGTGCTGTTCAAATGCAAAGTGGATAGCTAGAATAGATTCAATCCAGTGTTCTCTGTCAAAAGCAATATAGTGTTGCATTGATTATAGTGAGTGATGTAACAACTTGTCTATTCACATTGTAGCAACTATGACAATAAATAAAGATATCATCTATAATTGTTTCCACTACCTTGTCACTTGGAGACTGTGATACTGAATGGTACAGGGACTCTTTCCACACTTTTTGCGTGTACAAAGATATAAAGTACAAATATGTGCTGAGTGCTTTTAGCCTGGAGAAAAACATGCACATGCACACACACACACACACACACACACACACACACACACAGACAGACAAACACATCTGAATCTAATTTAAATTGAATTTTCCTGTAAACCAGCTGAAACCTGAGAGGCATCATCGATCCACTTCTCTCTCATACTAGCATTTGAGAATTGCTGACAGCATTACATTTCAGTGGCTCACAGTGTTAAAATATTGTTAAAGCAATCAATGCCGTACCGCAAGTCACTCATTCTCTCTCCCCCTCCCTTCCGATCCTCTCTCTGTCAGGATTGTATGATTCTGGAGAAGAGTGATATGCACCACCCGGTCTGCTCCTTCCAGGACGACTTCCAGGAGTTTGAGATGATCGATGACGAGGATGAGGAAGAGGAGGATGAAGACGAGGTGGACCCTGACGGTCCCCCCTCCCCCTCCACTTCCCTTCCTCCTTCCCCTACCCTGGGCACGCTGAAGAGCCGGCCCACCACCCTCAACCTCACCACCACTCTCTCTCTCTCTCAGGACGCATTGAACAACAACGGCAGTCTTTCTCCAAAGAAGGGCAGCTGGCAGCACTCTCTACGCAAGCCCATCTCACAAGGTGAATACTGTGCTGTCTTATTACTTACCCAATAATAAACCACTGCCAACACCTAGCAGCTTGTTTCCTCTCAAATGCCCTAGCTTTCTAAGGAAACTTTTTTTCTACAAATGTTTGTACGATAATTTATCTACCTAGGATTGTGTTTAGATGCTGTGTCTTTAAATGTTACAGTAGCATGTTGTCCTTTGCGTGCAGGCCGTCTGTCTCCAACCCACTCTTGTCTGGAGCATGGGAGTCACATGACGGGCCAGTGCCCTTCCCAACCAGCCCCCCAGGCCCCAGGGTACCAGAGCAAAGGTACTCTCCCCAAACAGGCAGGAGAGGGTGGCCACCCCGAGTACCCTCGCAGACCCCTCCTCTGCGACATGGAGGGAAATAGACGGGAGAAGCCCAAATACGGTAGCAAACAAAATGGCCGCCAGAAGTCATCCCCCATAAACATCTAGTGACGTGATGTAAAAGTGTAGTCGTCCTGTCCTAGGGCTATAGATACAGACTTTGGCAAACATAGTTTGGGATTCTAAAGAATGGGCTCCATTTTGACACCAAAAGTTCGAAGTCCAATGGGTGAGAATGGATTTGTTATTGAGTGTTTGGGCCCAACACAGAGGATAGTTTAGATAGGTCTGTTTATCTACTGCTCCCCTCACTGCCATCCCCACCCTGGTGACTTCTGGTTTAAAGCGGCCATTGCAATAAAGTTCTCATGATCAATTCTAATCTCTCTTTTTTTTCTCATCTCCCTCACCCTCTATCATCTCTCTTCATTTATCTCCCCTTTTTCTCTTCCCCCTCTATGCCCTCTCCTCTCACTCTCCCTCTCTCCAACAGGCTCCTTCGGTCAACACAAGTCTCACCTGGGCTCTGATGAGGTCATTAACTCCTCAGCCGACCCTTCAACTCTGACCTCCAGAGTTTCATCCCTGGATGACCACTCCCAGTGCTCTGACACTGAGGTCGACCACGACATCAACAACGCCGACCACAACCACAAACGTTCACGGTCCTGCATGTCCACCCAGCGACGTGCCACTGACACCTACACGGTCACCACTGAGTCAGGCCTGGACCCGGAACTGGAAAACAACCAAGACGGGACCAGCCGATGCCTGTCCTCCACTGCTCCCATTGGGGGGAATGATGGCGCTGACACCCCTCTGTCAGATGAGGAGCTGGAGAAAGATTTTGACGTAGAGTTCATGTGTAAGGAGACCTATGACATTGTGGGGAAGGAGAACCAGAGCTCAGTCTACGTTGAGTTCCCCTCCATCGAGCCCTGTGAGCTGGCTTCTTTCTCCAGCTACATGTCATCAAGCCGCTCCGATGTTCTTGACCAATCCCGAAGCACTGATCAGAGCGAGCATCCAGCTGCAGCCAATGAGGAGGTCAACCACTCCACCTCTCCGTCCTCTGACCCGGGCATCGCTGACATGAACGCCAAGCGGTGCTACGCCGCCTCAGACCAAGAGCATGACCTGAGCTCTCCTGGGTCAGAGTCAGACATCGAGGGGGAGCTGGATGCAGCGTTCGCCTGCGGAGGACCTCTGGTCTCCAACATGATCTCCTCCATCTCAGAGACAGAGCTGGACATGACCAGTGATGACAGTAGTAGTGGACGCTCCTCCCACCTCACCAACTCCATAGAGGAGGCCAGCTCACCCACCTCTGACCAGGAACTGGACCCAGACACCGAGTTAGAACAGGACAGCGGCATTGTGGGAATGAAGGTTTCGCTCCTCCTTGGCCAGCCAGACTCCATCAAAGAGGGCTCACCCTTACCCTCACCTTCACCAATACCCTCCCCCACCATAGCCACCCCTTCCCCTGCTGACTCCCCCATCCTGCCCCCAGAGCCCTATGATGACGGCCAGGCTCTGATGGGCCTACAGAGTGTAGATGATGATGAATTGCCCTATGAGCACCAGGCTGACCTAGATGAGGCCCTGCCCCCACCCCCACGCTGTGAGGACAGCATCTCCAGACAGATGCTCCTCCAGATAGAATCAGACCACAGCCTGGAGAGCTTCAAACACTCCTTCTACCTGCCAGTGGGACCCAGACTCATACCCACTCACGCTGACGACTACGACGGTAACAGTGAGGGAGAGTCTGAGTCGGAGAGCGAGGATGAGCTGAGCGAGAATTCAGACTCACCCTGGTTGCTAAGCAACCTGGTGAACAAGATGATCTTGGAGGGGTCTCATCCAATCAGCTGTCCCGAGGACTGTTTCAAGAGGTCAGTGTCTGTCTCGGACACCATCTCACCCTCCTCGGACATCGAGCCAGACGTGTTCACCGACGCTGCAGGAGAAAAAGTGCAGAAATCTGTGACGAAGGGATCAGAGTATAAAGAAGGGAAGGGTCTGAGGAACAAGGGGAAGGAGAGAGAGAAGAGGGAGAAGAGTGCAGAGCCACCCAAATGGAATACAGGGAAAGCCAACGATAGATTTGGCCCCTGTCTGTACAAGAGCAATCCCACAGCTGACACCATCAGACCGGTGATCGTGGAGCGCTATGGCAACAGGGTATCCACAGACAATAATCACACTCAGGCCTCGGAGAAAGAAATCACCAGCCCTAAATCAGGCAAAAACACCAAGAGGAAGGATGAAGAAGAGGATGATGATGATACTGTGGAGCCCGATAACGACCTGATGATGCTGGAGGGGAGGAAGGAGCTGGACTCTCCCAGTCTGAGTGAGAGCGTGGCGAGTGACAAGGACGAGGGCCGCGAGACTGAGGCCAAGCCCACTGGACGCTCTACGGCCTCCCTGGAACGCATCACCACGGTCAAACACAGCATGACCCTGGACATCCCCACGGCCCGGACCAACCAATGCTTCAGCCTCACCTACTCCACTGACAATGATGAGGAGGAGGAGGAAGAGGGAGACTCCTCCCCGTTCCTGAGCTGCCTGAGGAAGCAGTCATCCTATGGTGGCAGCCACCAGTACCTGGATAGCGCTCCACCCATCGACGAGAGTGTCCGGGACCTCCCCCTGTTGGAGAAGGAATTCCCCCTGTGTGAGAGAGACCTCCCCCTGCGGTCCCAGCCGGATGATGATGGTCTGGCGTACGACTCCATGAAGTACACTCTGGTAGTGGATGAGAACACTACACTTGAGCTGGTCAGCCTCAGGAGGTACTTACGTGGAGAAAGGGCCCACCTTTATTGTGGAAGGGTTTAGTTGAATTTCATTCTATTGGCAATTTAAAAGTAATGTACATCAAGTTGTTTAATTACTCCTGTTTAGTCCATGCTGTCACAACGGTCCCAAGCTGATTTATCAGGAGTCAACTTTATAGTGTATTATAGATGCTTTTATGTTGTCTTCTTCTCTTAAGCTATTATGACTAACCTGTGTGAACCGTGTCCCTCCAAGATGTACCTCTGTGCTGAGTGATGACAGTGAGCTGTCTACGCTGTGTGATGATGACCCTCTGGGGACGGGGGAGGTGGGGTACGGCCGGCGGAACGGAGGAGTGCGGACAGATCTCCTCAGCTCGTCAGAAGACTCCTCACCTGAGGCTGACATGCACTTTTCCAAGAAGTTCCTCAACGTGTTTGTCAACAGCACCTCACGATCCTCCAGTAAGTAGCCTACACTCTGAAAAATACAGGTTCCAGTTGGAACCAAATAATATTCTTCAGAGCGATGCCATAGGGGAACCATTTTAGGTTCTCTGAACAACCTTAAATGGGATGGTTATTTGAAGAACCATACAAAACTCAAGAGCGCCAAAGAACCATTATTGATTCCACAAGGAACCATGATAAAAGGTAAAAAAATAAAGTTTATGGTTCTTTGTGGAACTGCATTAATAAAGGTTTTATTTTGGGTGTTTTCTGTTGAGCCCAGGGTGCCTTTTGAGTTAATATTAGAGTTACAAGTACCACCCCTGACTTGTTAGTGACATAGACATGGTTGTTGTATTCGTTCATGCTCAGTCCTGTGGCCTGTACAAAGTAAAATCCTAACTGAAAATGTTATCATTACATTTTTCTATAAAATACATATTTCATAAGGCCTAGTTTTACCCTAACACAGTGGCCTGAAACTCAGGATTTACAGGCCATGCAAGTCACATGCTGGCTTGCAAAGTGATGTGTAACTCCTATTGGAATCCAGCCAGAGGTAGGATATCCAACATTTTGAATTTTTATTCACCTGCAACCTGCGTTCAGAATGACTGCCAGGGTTGGGAAGACTAAGATACACTGTAAACCCCAATGTTCTGTCATTACTCAACTTTTGAGGAAACCCATTTCACTTAAAATATCTGAGTACAGTTACTTAAAGTGATTTTGTAGTCCTTACTCAAACCGATATAGTCACTGCGACCCTGTAGGGCAGGGGTATTCAACCCTACGAGGTCCGGAGCCTGCTCGTTTTCTGTTCTACGCACCTCTGTTGCACCCACCTCATGTCCCAGGTCTAAATCAGTCCCTATTTAGAAGGGAACAATGAAAAAAATGCAGTGGAAATGGCTTCGAGGTCCAGAGTTGAGTTTGAGGGCTGTAGAGGGTCATGATTTGAGTTGTATCAGCTTGAAACATTTTAGTAACGCCCCCACTAAGCCACACCTCTAATATAATTTCCCAGTGTGCCTTGCCTTTTCGCATGAATGGTAGAGATACTACCCATGACTGTATTTGTTAGTGACAGAGACATGGTTATTGAATTCATTTTTTTTTCAGTCCTGTGGCCTTATGCAATTGAGTTCGTAGGCGAATGTTATCATTACAATTAAACTCTTTATGACAATACATTTACATATCTCATAAGGCCTTATTTTGAGGCCTAGCAAAATTCCAGTAACTTTCAAAAAATTCCTAGATTTTCAAAAAATCCTGGTTGAAGGATTTCCATGAATCTTCCAACTGGGATTTCTGGAAAACCTGGGAAATGTACCAGAATGTTGCAATCCTACCTGCAAATCACGTTATGCTGGCTTGCAAAGTGATGTGTAACTCCTATTGGAATCCAGCCAGAGGTAGGATATCCAACAGTTGGAATTTTTATTCACCTGCAACCTGCATTCATAATGACTGACGGGGTTAGGAGACTACCTAAGCCATTTAAACTGGAACATACATTTCAGTAATGGGTGAAAAAAATCAAACTAACTGATTTGGATTAGTTTAGAAAAGTGTATGTTATTTAATCTTTGTGTAGCACAAGATTAATCAATCACTCAATGTACATGCAAAAACACAGATTCCCAAAAAATCATAACTTTAAAAAAAAATAGTTGATGTGGCTTCTCATTTTGTTCTTAATCAGTACGACATTTTAAGTAATAATTACTTTTCATTGACTTTGAGTGCAACTTACACACTTACAGTGTATGAGGCTACTTAAAGGATCTAAACTGAAACAACTCTTTCAGTAACTGATGCAATAAGTCCAAGTAACAGATTGGATTAGTATAGAAAAATTATGTTATTTGTATTTGAGTAGCATATTATTAAATTAATCAATGTACATGTAACAACAAAGATATTGAAACAAACAGTTCTAAAAATCAACCTGCGATAGAGCATGCTGGGAAATATGATAATGATTGGTCTGGTTTTGGTTCAACTCAGGATATTAATGGCAACACTGTACACCAGGGTTTCCCAAACTCAGTCCTGGAGCACCCATGGGTGCACGTTTTGGTTTTTGCCTTAGCACTACACAGCTAATTCAAATAAACAAAGCTTGATAAAGAGTTGGTTATTTGAATCAGATGTGTAGTGCTAGGGCAAAACCAAAACGTAAGTTCAGGGGGGACCCCAGGACTGAGTTTTGGAAACCCTATTGTATACCACTGAGTGTTCATTTAACTATTTACAGTCTTAATTTGCTGTGTCATTGAATGTTCCTGAGTGGCCTAGTTACAGTTTTGACTTAAAACTAATTGCAAATCTATGGCAAGACTTGAAAATGTCTGTGTAGCAATGATCAACAACCAATTTGACAGAGCTTGAATCATTTCTTAAAGAATAATGGGCAAATATTGTACAATCCAGGTTTGCAAAGCTCTTAGAGACTTACCCAGAAAGACTCACAGCTGTAATAACTGCCAAAGGTGATTCTAACATGTATTGATTCAGGGGGTTGAAATATATTAGTGTTTTATTTTCCACTAATAATATACAGTACCAGTCAAAAGTTTGGACACACCTACTCATTCCAGGGTTTTTCTTTATTTTTACTATTTTCTACATTGTAGAATAATAGTGACGACATCAAAACAAAATATATTTTATATTTGAGATTCTTCAAAGTAGCCATCCTTTGCCTTGATGACAGCTTTGCACACGCTTGGCATTCTCTCAACCAGCTTCATGAGGTAGTCACCTGGAATACATTTCAATTAACAGGTGTGCTTTGTTAAAAGTTAATTTGTGGAATTTCTTACCTTCTTAATGCGTTTGAGCCAATCAGTTGTGTTGTGACAAGGTAGGGGTGGTATACAGAAGATAGCCCAATTTGGTAAAAGACCAAATCCATATTATGGCAAGAACAGCTCAAATAGGCAAAGAGAAACGACAGTCCATCATTACTATAAGACATGAAGGTCAGTAAATCCGGAAAATGTCAAGAACTTTGAAAGTTTCTTCAAGTGCAGTCGCAAAAACCACCAAGCGCTACAGGAAAGGAAGACCCAGAGTTACCTCTGCAGAGGATAAGTTCATTAGAGTTAACTGCACCTCAGATTGCAGCCCAAATAAATGCTTCACAGAGTTCAAGTATAAGGACACATCTCAACATCAACTGTTCAGAGGAGATCGCGTGAATCAGGCCTTCGTGGTCGAATTGCTGCAAAGAAACCACTACTAAAGGACACCAATGAGAAGAAGAGACTTGCTTGGGCCAATCAATGAACATTAGACCGGTGGAAATCTGTCCTTTGGTCTGATGAGTCCTAATTTGAGATTTTTGGTTCCAACTGCCGTCTTTGTGAGATGTAGAGTAGGTGAACGGATGATCTCCACATATGTGGTTCCCACCGTGAAGCATGGAGGAGGAGGTGTGATGTGTGGGGGGTGCTTTGCTGGTGACACTGTCTGTGATTTATTTAGAATTCAAGGCACACTTAACCAGCGTGGCTACCACAGCATTCTGCAGCGATACGCCATCCAATCTGGTTTGCGCTTAGTGGGATTATCATTTGTTTTTCAACAGGACAATGACCCAAAACACACCTCCAGGCTGTGTAAGGGCTATTTGACCAAGAAGGAGAGTGATGGAGTGCTGCATCAGATTACCTGTCCTCCACAATCACCCGACCTCAACCCAATTGAGATGGTTTGGGATGAGCTGGACCGCAGAGTGAAGGAAAAGCAGCCAACAAGTGCTCAACATATGTGGGAACTCCTTCAAGACTGTTGGAAAAGCATTCCTCATGAAGCTGGTTGAGAGAATGCCAAGAGTGTGCAAAGCTGTCATCAAGGCAAAGGGTGGCTACTTTGAAGAATCTCAAATATAAAATATATTTTGATTTGTTTAACACTTTTTTGGTTACTACATGATTCCATGTGTTCTTTCATAGTTTTAATGTCTTCACTATTATTCTACAATGTAGAAAACTTTTGACTGGTACTATATATATTTTTTTTCTTCCTCTTTTGATGTTTAGAGTATTTTGTGCAGATCGTTGACAAAAAAATGACAATTAAATCAATTTTAGTCCCACATTGTAACACAATGAAATGTGGAAAAAGTCAATGGGTGTGAATACTTTCTGAAGGCACTGTAAAAACCTTTTTTTTTCAGTGTAGGCTACACACTAACTAACTTCTAAATAACCATCAGCATCTAACTTAGTGTAGCAACTATACAAAATAGAACAAAGCCTAAAATAACTGTAGTCAAACATTGATCAAGTATTGCTGTGGTTAAAAAAAGCTTATACTTGGGTTATATTTTTATTTTGACTCTCATTTACTGAATCCAGAGTATCTATGTTAGCTCTCCCAAGCTGCAGCATAATAAAATATCACTGAAGGATCGTCTACATAATTAAGCGCCTATTACAAATGGAAAAAAGAAGAATTTCATCATAATGAGTTATTTTGAGAGATGCAGTTATCATTCATATAGATTTTATTTAGAGCGGTCCTATGGGTTACATTAATGTCCCTCCAAACATGTGTATCAGTGTTCTCACTGTTTGTGTTTACCTGTGCAGGTACAGAGTCGTTTGGGCTGTTCTCCTGTACCATCAACGGAGAGGAGAGGGACCAGACACACAGGGCTGTCTACAGGTGAGTCATAGCATTCAGAACATCATTTACAGACATACTGTGTTATGTAAACATGATCAGACAAAAACGTATGATTATTGTAATGTTGTCATTGCAAGAGAACATATTATAATCTCTTATCTTATCTGTTTGACTCTTTGTTCTTAGTCCCACACATGCACTATGGATTGTAGGTGATATGGGACAAAGGATGGTTGTGTGCAGTATGAGACGTGACTCTGGTGAATCACCAGTGGTCTGGAGAGAGGGAGGGAAGAAGAGATGGAGGGAGGAAGAGAGGAAAGGAGAGAGAGGGAGGGGGGCAGGTGTCATGACCCTAGTGACATTGCGGGGGGGAACAGCTATACTCACACCAGCCTGCCACCACCTGGGCCTCACTGTGTGTGTGTGTGTGCCCACTGTCTCCCCCTTCCTCAGTAACGGAATCATTCCTCTCTCCCTAACCTTTATAAACCTAAATCATTAAGCACATCCACTCCCCCTTCCCTTTCAACCCTTCCTACTGCCCTCCCTCTTCTCTCCCCTCCTCCTCCCTCTATCCCTAAGTGTGTCTCTGCTGTTTCTTCAGCTAACAGCCTCTCCTCGGGGAGTCACCTGATACCAAGACAGATGCTGCTTCCTCCTCACTAAAACCCAATAACGTGTGTGTATCTCTACCCTCTGACCTCTGTCTCCTGTCCCCTACAGGTTTATCCCCAGACATGTGGATGAGTTGGAGCTGGATGTGGACGACCCTCTGTATGTCGAGGAGGAGGAGGATGACTACTGGTACAGAGGCTACAACATGCGGACGGGAGAGAGGGGGATATTCCCTGCCTTCTACGCCCATGAGGTCATAGGGCAGTCCAAGGAGATAATGGGTGAGTGATAGACAGACACCATATATTCATGTCTGGTAGGAGCACAGTTCTACTGGAAAGCTCCCTTTCTATACTGAGTATGTCAAGTGTTGACTGTATGTCATCACTGGAGACACATAACCTGAATGTCAATAAGATAAAATAGACAGAACATAAATGCCTCCAGTCTGATGTCACCTCCTGTGTGTGTACTTCCTGTAGGAGTGAAGAGGAACCCAGCCTGGATGGACAGTTTCAGCGTTCAGTTCCTGGGTTCTGTGGAGGTGCCCTATCACCAAGGCAATGGCATTCTCTGTGCCGCCATGCAGAAGGTAAACAGGAAACACACCACTCTGGGTTGGGTGAACTAACAGGTCATAGAATGAGACATTGTTCAATTAATAAAGTGTATCTGTATTGAACTTTCTCTTTGTCAGATTGCGATAGCGCGGAAGCGGACGGTCCATGTGCGACCCCCCTCTCTGTGTGAGCTGGAGATTAGTTTACAAGGGGTTAAACTGGTGATGAGCCTGGAGGACGAATATGACACTATGGATGAGGTGAGAGATGGAGGGAGGAGAGATGGGGAGGTGTAAGTGAGGGGCGCAAAGGAAGGGAAGGGGGGTGAGGGTAAGGGACGAGTGTAAACCGGGACATAATTTTTGTAAGCGACTGTAGTGCCTTCAAAAGGATGCTGAAACGACTACATAATATGAGTATCTCTCCCCCCCCCCCTCTTTCCTTCCCTCTCTCCAGTTTGACAGATGTAGTCACTTCTTCCAGATGAAGAACATCTCTTTCTGTGGATGCCATCCCAAAAACAATTGGTATGAAAATGCATGTTAAGGATACATTTCATTAGACGATAAAACACCAAAGAATAAAGGTAAATCATTCAACTTTATTTATTTACACTTCCCCTTATCCCCCCCCCCCTCTCCTCAGCTACTTTGGCTTCATCACTAAACACCCCATGCTGAACAGGTTCGCCTGCCACGTCTTTGTCTCCCAGGAGTCAATGCGGCGTGTGGCCGAGAGTGTTGGGTGAGTCACACACAGTACCTCAGTGTCTCCCTTTCACACACCCATCTCTGCTTTAGGACACACTTTGGAGTATGATTCTAATTCCCCTTTAAGTTGTGCTTGTAAACCTAGGCATGAAGAGCCTCTCCATAATACTATTTGTTTTATTGAAGTTGCAAAAAATATAAATGAAACATGTAAAGTGTTAGTCCCATGTTTCATGAGCTGAAATAAACGATCCCAGAAATGTTCCATACGCACAAAAACCTTATTTCTCTCAAATTCTGTGCACAAATGTTTTATATCCCTGTTAGTGAGCATTTCTCCTTTGCCAAGATAATCCATCCATCTGACAGGTGTGGCATATTAAGAAGCTGATTAAACCGCATGATCATTACACAGGTGCACCTTATGCTGGGGACAATAAAAAGCCAGTCTAAAAGGTGCAGTTTTGTCACGTGCAATTGGCATGCTGACTGCAGGAATGTCCACCAGAGCTGTTGCAAGGGAATGTAATGTTCATTTCTCTACCATAAGCCAACATTGTTTTAGAGAATTTGTCAGTACGTCCAACCGGCTTCACAACCGCAGACCACGTGTAACCACGCCAGCCCAGGACCTCCACTTCCGGCTTCTTTACCTGTGGGATCATCTGACACCAGCCACCCGGACAGCTGATGAAACTGAGGAGTATTTCTGTCTGCGATAAAGCCCTTTTGTAGGGGAAAACTAATTCTAATTGGCTGGGCCTGGCTCCCAAGTGGCTGCGCCCCTGCCCAGTCATGTGAAATCCATAGATTAGGTGGTATTGGGGTTGAGCCTAACAATGTTTTAGCACTGCTTTATCTCCCAATCTCGGTCATTACTGCTTATGTGAAAAACTGTGGTCTGAATAAAAATGGTGGAAACCATAGACTACTGTACCTACAGTATCAAGCCCTTTAGTTCAGCTGGCATGATGGAGAGGAGAAGAAAATCCATTACAAAGTATAGTGTCATTCTCTCAGTGAGAGACAGAGAAAAGAGGGAGAGAGAGTGTGTGTGTGTGAGCTGGGGTTTATAATGGCTGCAGTTCCTGTCCTGTCTTGTCTGAATCAGGTAAACTGGGTTTGAATTATTAAAGATGGCCATGGTTCAAGGTCGATACAACAGGGCAGAGCAGGACGGGATGGGCTGGGGAGTCAGGGTTAGGGGATGGAAAGGCTTCAGACATGAACAGTAATGATGGTATGGGGAAATGTTTACTAAGCTGATGCTCATCTTGGACTAGAACCATGATGTGAGTCTGGCTGAGACATCATTGTTGGATGATTTGATTGCGGACATCTGTTTGTTAAGTTCTCTGTTCTCTGTCTCCCTCTCTAGACGGGCTTTCCAGGAGTATTACCAGGAGCACCTGGAGTACGCCTGCCCCACCGAAGACATCTACCTGGAGTAGAGCAGGCAGGAAATATGAAGTGTTGCCATGACAACCATCTTCTCTTCTTCCTGCTGCTGCTTGTGTATGTTCATCAATCTCACCACCAGAGGCTGCTGGTGGCTCTGCTCTCCATCGTAAAATACCCCATATATACAGGATCCCTCTAAAACTGGAATGTTCATTTCAGTTCTACAGTATGCGACGTGTTTTATTCATTTATTGACTTATTTATTGATTCATTTGTTTGTACGTTTATTTTCCATCTTCTAGATGGATTGCCTGTTTCTTTTTCTATGATACAGTTACAGGAATAAGTCTTGGCACCTTATTTTAGATATTATGTATCCTCCTTGGTTTAAAAAACAAGAACAACAATGATAATCATACTGCTGATATTTCACATGTTCCAATGCATGGCTAGGAGGGTAATACACTGTACTAATCACACACAGAAACACAGACCTATTAGGATACAAAAACAGAGCAACAATCAAGAGGACATGGAGCATATTATTTGTTCAGGTGTAAATACGTTTTTGTTCAATATTGACAAACTGCTATTCTACTGATAGTGACATTGGATCGAAGAAGAGGGAGAGTACAGTGATGTGATTGGTCCGAGCTAACACCTGTATCGTGTACAAGACATAGTGTGTTCTGTAAATATACACATTAGGAACACCTATGTACAGTGGAGAGAAAAAGTATTTGATACACTGCCGATTTTGCAGGTTTTCCTACTTACAAAGCATGTAGAGGTCTAATTTTTATCATAGGTACACTTCAACTGTGAGAGACGGAATCTAAAACAAAAATCCAGAAAATCACATTGTATGATTTTTAATTAATTCATTTGCATTTTATTGCATGACATAAGTATTTGATCACCTACCAACCAGTAAGAATTCCGGCTCTCACAGACCTTTTAGTTTTTCTTTAAGAAGCCCTCCTGTTCTCCACTCATTACCTGTATTAACTGCACCTGTTTGAACTCGTTACCTGTATAAAAGACACCTGTCCACACACTCAAACAGACTCCAACCTCTCCACAATGGCCAAGACCAGAGAGCTGTGTAAGGACATCAGGGATAAAATTGTAGACCTGCACAAGGCTGGGATGGGCTACAGGACAATAGGCAAGCAGCTTGGTGAGAAGGCAACAACTGTTGCCGCAATTATTAGAAAATGGAAGAAGTTCAAGATGACGGTCAATCACCCTCGGTCTGGGGCTCCATGCAAGATCTCACCTCGTGGGGCATCAATGATCATGAGGAAGGTGAGGGATCAGCCCAGAACTACACGGCAGGACCTGGTCAATGACCTGAAGAGAGCTGGGACCACAGTCTCAAAGAAAACCATTAGTAACACTACGCCGTCATGGATTAAAATCCTGCAGCGCACGCAAGGTCCCCCTGCTCAAGCCAGCGCATGTCCAGGCCCGTCTGAAGTTTGCCAATGACCATCTGGATGATCCAGAGGAGGAATGGGAGAAGGTCATGTGGTCTGATGAGACACAAATAGAGCTATTTGGTCTAAACTCCACTCGCCGTGTTTGGAGGAAGAAGAAGGATGAGTACAACCCCAAGAACACCATCCCAACTGTGAAGCATGGAGGTGGAAACATAATTCTTTGGGGATGCTTTTCTGCAAAGGGGACAGGACGACTGCACCGTATTGAGGGGAGGATGGATGGGGCCATGTATCGCAAGATCTTGGCCAACAACCTCCTTCCCTCAGTAAGAGCATTGAAGATGGGTCGTGGCTGGGTCTTCCAGCATGACAACGACCCGAAACACACAGCCAGGGCAACTAAGGAGTGGCTCCGTAAGAAGCATCTCAAGGTCCTGGAGTGGCCTAGCCAGTCTCCAGACCTGAACCCAATAGAACATCTTTGGAGGGAGCTGAAAGTCTGTATTGCCCAGCGACAGCCCCGAAACCTGAAGGATCTGGAGAAGGTCTGTATGGAGGAGTGGGCCAAAATCCCTGCTGCAGTGTGTGCAAACCTGGTCAAGACCAACAGGAAACGTATGATCTCTGTAATTGCAAACAAAGGTTTCTGTACCAAATATTAAGTTCTGCTTTTCTGTATCAAATACTTATGTCATGCAATAAAATGCAAATGAATTACTTAAAAATCATACAATGTGATTTTCTGGATTTTTGTTTTAGATTCTGTCTCTCACAGTTGAAGTGTACCTATGATAAAAATTACAGACCTCTACATGCTTTGTAAGTAGGAAAACCTGCAAAATCGGCATTGTATCAAATACTCGCCACTGTATAGGCAGTAGAGAAATACAGACGACTCATACAAACTATGTAAGTAGCACCACAACCAATAATCATCCACAACCAATAATCAAACGAGAGGAAGAGAAGAAAGGAAATAGGAAGGAAGAGAGGGATGATGTTTTAGCCCAGTGTTTACCAAACGGTGGGAGTGGGACCTATTTTCAGATTTCTAGTCCCTTCCCCAGCTTATTTGAAGTCCAGCATTTTTAAATTCAGTTTGGAAATTTACTGGCCTCAGATCTGATAGGACCGAGCAGGTGTAAGCAATGTGTTGATGGCCACAGTTAGCCCTTCAATTGAGCTAAATGGAGTTTCCGTCATATTTCTTACTCATATCCAGATCCTTTCAGATCTGTGAGTGTGAACACAACAGGAGCTGGGGGAAGGGACTAACGGCCAAAATGGAATGAAGCCTCATTTCTGTAATGGAGGCTCTTCATCAAATTGGTCATTTTGACATTTAAAGGGTTCTGACTTATGTTGACATTTTACATTTTAGTTATTTAGGAGATGCTCTTATCCAGAGCGACTTACAGTTAGTGGGTACATTTTTCATACTGCCCCCCCGTGGGAATCGAACCCACAACCCTGGCGTTGCAAGCGCCATGCTCTACCAACTGGGCTACAGGAGGCCTATCGTTGACGATGTTGGAGGCCCATCGTTGACGATGTTGATCTGTTAGTAAGCCCTGCCCACCATGGTCCATAACAGTCTCAGTAGTCATCTGTCATTGGACAACAGCTCCTCTGATCAAATCTCCAAACACAGCATAGTGGCAGGAAGAGGTTGCTATGGAAACAGGGGGCAATAACTGTCAGCGCTTTGGGAACAGAGAGAGAAAGAGAAGAAAGAAGAGAATCATTCAGCTTCTGGACTTCTAATGGTGGAAATACAGTATTATAGAAACAGACAATGTTGTATTCCTTCCCATCTGGTCCAACAGTGAAGTGTCCTGATGTACAGATACTACACAATGTTTAGAGATAATCAGTCTGAATATCAGGTTGAGGACAGTTGAAGGTCCTCTTCAGGAGAAGCCATAATCCCACGGTTCTGACTGTTCAACACTACTCCCTCACAGGAAACACTGTTTTACAGGTGTGTGTCAGTCCCTGTTTGAGTTTAATCCACTGAGAATAAGACCAGTATTTTCCTGGATGTACAATAGGCTTGCTTTGGTCTAACCAACACAGTTTTAGAAGTTGACTTTACAATGTCTGATGGCTCGTATTCTGCCTGATAAATGTCCTGAGAAGTGTACCTTTCCACATGTACTCCTTGATTTCACTCTGGTCATAGGTAAGCCAATATACAGTACATGGTTTGCTTACTTATAGTAGGACATTTTACTTTCTACAGTTGTCTTTTCCAGTTCACTTAGCATACTGTAGCCTACAGTATAACATCCAAACAGATGAAGGAGTAGAGAGGGGGAGAACCCAGAATGAATTAAAATAACAGATGTCATACTGCAATCCACAATATCAGGTTGAGTACAGTAGACGAGGGATGCTTCTAGACCCAGATACACAACTTCTACTGCTTTTATTCTTCAACAAATATCAAACCGCAAAAAGAGGATCTTTGATCTGCTGGTGATGAGGAGTCATGTGACCTCCATGGTGACTAGTTTATAATTTGTGACAGTGGTGTCAGTAGGAGGGGAGAGAGGGTGTAATCTAAATGTGTATCGCTGTTGGTTAGATCCTGTAAATACTATAGAGAGTCGATAAGATAGTGCTGAGTCCTTTACGTTAAGTATGTTATTTAAATGAATATGTAAAATAATAAAAGAGACAAATTCAAAAAAGACAACCATGAAAACCACGATGGAAAAAGAGAAAACATTGTAAATGACTTTTTATTATTTGTTCTTGTTTTCATTTGTTGCGTTTCCATACACATCGTTGTCTCTACATCAACCACTATGTTTTGTGAACCACTAAGTTCTTGCTAACTCAGACCTTCACCCTGCAGACAGGCTTCAGCAGCACCGCTTTTAGGCACATCTGTGACATCGTCATTAGGGGACACACATAACGTGTCACCTTTAACCTTGCTGATATCCAATGCCACACCCACCCAAGTGATGGCCAATCTGCTAATAGAGCAGAGTAGTAGAGGTTAACCAATTAAAACACAGCTTTCAGAGTCTGCTTTCACACGGAACTAGAGGTGGGACAAGTCACTATTATTCGAGTCACTGCAAGTCTCAAGTCACAATGTCCAAGTCGAGTGCCAAGTAGAACGGGTCAGTCTCGAGTCAAGTCTTGCATTCTAAGAGCAAGTCGAGTCGAGTCAAACGTTTTTTTCAAGTCTCAAATCAAGTTTAAAAAAAAATCTATACAGGCAAGGACTTGTTCAACTACAAATCTTTGTCTATTGTTTTAGGCTACCAGACAGCCCTTTTCATTATTTTGTCTACAACACATTTTGATTGTAATAGTTTGTTTTACCAAATTCCAAATGCAAGCCTTAAGTAAATTATCAATATTAAGCAATTTTGACATACCAAAACACCAGTAGGCCTATACTAGAAATGGTTGCTTGATGCCCCATTGCTGGTGAGCTTGCAAAGTAAACTGTTCATATTCTTGATCAGCAAACCATTTTTTGAGCTGCATTTTCATTTATGACAATCCTCTGTCCCTACAATTTGACGTTTGCACTGCACCCGATCCTATAGCTGTTCAGCAAATCAGCAATCTGTTCGCCAGCTCAGTGG